GTGTTCCTGCGCATGGAGGGCATCCCCTTCATCCAGGAGGAGCTGTCTGATAATGAGGAGAACAGAAAGCGGCAGAGTGAGTCTGACCTGGGGGCGGGGGCACACACGACCCTGGGGATGGCAAGGGCTGCAGTACCCTGGGGCACTGCAGCCACACTGGGCTTTTGCAGACAGTGAGTGCTGCAGCACTGTCCTGGAGGCAGAGTCCCCAAGCAGAGAGGCTGGAACCAGCTCATCACCGGGCAGCTCCGAGGAGACGCTGGGCAGGAGGCTGCTGAGATCCCTCAGTGAGTGACTGACCTGGGGAGGGAGCGCCCAGGGGAGAGCTCTGCCTTAGCACCCCACTGCCTGGGTCAGCTGCTCCCCAGCCCCACCCTGGGGACATCCTGCACAGGGCTGGCGTGGAGCATGGGGGCAGTCCAGTTCCCCAGCAGCATGCAAACCTGCATGTAGGGCTAGCTCAGGCAGAGCCAGCTGCCTGCTCCTGGCCCAACCCCACGCACCCCCTGCCCTGAGCACCCTTGGCCCCAGCACCCAGCCTTAGGTGCCTGTGCTGCTGCAGGTGGGCGCAAGCAGCGGCCATCGCCAGAAGGTGAGAAGATGCCAGAGGAGAGCTCCAATCTCACCCCATTAATCACCTGAGCAGCAGTGTGGCTGGAGCACAGCGCTGGAGGCCCATGCAGACCGGAGGTAGGAACCTGCCTCTTGGTACACTACTCCTTCTCGACCAAAGAGGAGGTTGCTCAGTTTTAATAGTGTAAAATCAAGTTTCAAGCAGCAAATCCAAATGACGGGGTTTGGAGCCCATGCAGGCATGCATGTCACTGGGGGCTGGAGCAGGATCAAGGGATGCAGCAGCAGACTCCAACCATCATCGGGGTGGGAATGGATCTTAGAGAGAGAGGGAGACCATGACTCATGTTTTCACAGCTAGAAATGTGTGTCTGCACCAATATCCCTAGGCCTGGCTAGGAACGGTGCTGCAGGCTTGAGCAGCAGCAGGCCAGGGAGGGCAAGCTGTGGCCACCTGCAGCAGGCTGTGCTTGTGTCTTCTAGGTCTGCAGCATGAGGGTTTCCTGCCACGAGGCTCATGTTCAACAGCAGCAGGTCTGCACTCGCTCGCTGCCTGCCCACCCGCCTGCCTGCTCATGCCACCCCTCCCTGCAGGACTTGTGCAGAGCCCCATCCCCAGGTGAGAACGGATGTGCCCCCGGTGGGGACGAACCATGCAGGTGGCCTGGACCAGCTAGCTGGAGTCCGAGGGCCCTTGCCCAGATGCTCCCTGGTAGCATCTGGTCTCAAGGAAGAGAAGGAGAGAGGAGAAAGGAAAGGTGGGGAAGTGTTTGGCACGGCCTCTCTGCAGGCAGAGCAGGGAGGGGCAGCCCAACCCAGAACTGCCCTTAGCATCATTTACCATCCTCATCCCAGCAAGGCCCGGAGCCCTTCGGTGCTGGGTGCTGCACAGATGTGGTCTCCGCCATGAGGAGAATGTGCTATCTGGGGGGTGCCACACACAGCTCAGGGCCCCAGCACACATCTGTGCCGTGCTTAGTGACATGTGCACTCACAGCGCCTTGCGCATGCTGGCCATCAACACAGCCTGGCAGCCCCCATCCCCTGCTAGGCACAGGGCTGGGGGCCCAGCTCACACCGAGCACAGCCCCCAGCCGCATTGAACCATCCTGCTCTCTGTGCACGGCTGTCTGCGCGAGGGAGGCTGGCACCGAGCCTTCGGGTTGGTACGGACCAGTCAGTAGTTTTTTTAGAGGCTGAATGCAATGGGGATATTAACATTAAAAGTGATTCTTCCTGAGCAACGGCTAGTCTGTGTCAATCGGTGTAGGGGAAGG